TTTATTTAAATACAACCCTTTTAGAGTGTTCTAATTTTTAAAAACGAAGCTATTCACATATGCATTGGCAAAAGAACTATGATCAACTGCATATTATGATCTAGTTTAAAAAATCATATTGAATATGGATCAGTACTAAAATTGTCTTAGGCCAGGAACGACCCATGCGCCTGGTGGCTGGGGGAGCACGGTGGGAGTGGTGAGTGGGGAGCTCCCACAGACGAGGCCGGCACGGTCAGCAGCCGGGGGTGACGAGCACCATGCAGGAGTCAGTGACTACCTGCAGGCACCACCGGCAGTGGTGGCGGCCAGTGGGGATCGCTGACTGCCCACAGATGCCACTGGTGGTTTTGGTGGCAGGGTGGCGAGCAGTGACCGCCCTCAGGCGCCACCAACAGTGTCAGCAGCACCTTTTTGTAGGGGGTGTACTGCCATGCTCAGGGGGTGCATGCACGTGCACCCCCTACACGTCACCCCTGTCTTAGACTGTCAGGAAGTGCTTATTTCTTCTATCCAATAATAATTGATAGTGATTATTATTAAACATGAAGCTAAACTGCTAAATCCCCACTAATAACTTCTTCACAAAATACATTTAGAAGTAGTGAGAATGATTTTGATATTTACTAAAACATTTACTTTACATTAAATATAATCACATATTATGGATCAGATTCACAGCTGGTTTAAGTTGCTGTAGTTTCAGTGACTTCAGTGGAATCATACTGAATTTCACCGGTATAAAATACGGCTCAAATTCTTGTAGTTTGTCAATGACACCCAATTTAAAATCTAAATTTTAGGACGGTGACTCTAACCTCTAGTCTGAAAACATAAACTCAGCTATAGTGGACAGACCCTTAGATGGCCACCACTTAGTGAAGATCTCAAAAATGACCCTGTAATAGCAGAAATATCTAAAATATGAAGTATATGGTACCTCCACCCTCTTTGGATAAAATACACAAGCAAAGAGAGATAATTCTATTTCTGTATGTTGTCCAAGCTGATAATGCTGGAGACCATGGGAAAGTATTTTAAGTGAATTAATATCTACTTAGATTTGCATTGTCTGTATGATTTTTAATATGTGTTTCTATTTTGTTTTCCAAGTTTAATGTACTATTGCAAATACTCATATTTTTATCATAACGGATTCTTTTAAATACAGTTTGTTCAGATTTGGGAAGGTAATTCTAATATAGCAACAACAATCAGAATTTGGTGTCATAACCTAGTTGACTTAGGAGTTATTTTAACGTTTAAAAGATATATGCAATCTGGAGGCATTTTACTATAGAGGTAACTGACTCCCTTGCCTCCTTTCTTCTATGAACCTTCTATACAATTAACACAGATGGAAATTTAAAGTAACTTCATCAATGTCAGGCATACTACTGTTTTTTTCAGAGGTATAGTAGATAACTGGCCTGCCATGCTGCAGGCTGCAATAAGAAGACAAAAGATCCTATAATTCTGCTTCTTGACTCCCTAGTTTGCGATTGGCCTAGAGAAGAGTAAAATGAATGAGCAAAAGAAAACAGCTGAAAAGGGATACTTATAATAGACAACTGCTGATCCTGTAGATCATGGTGTATGCATGTAGTCAGGTGCCTGATGAATCTGCTTGTACAGAGTCCTGCGACCATCACACTGAGACCTTTGAGGCATACGTCTAGGCAGGAGGATGGAGGAGTGGAGGCTGCCCAAGACTCACCATCCCTTCCTTTAGACCATTGAGACAGAATCCAAAGGCCAGACCAAGTCCAGACATTTAGTACCTTGGTAATTGTAGCTTCTGCTGAAGAGCAACAGATAAGAACTGCTGCTGACTACCTAACACCTCCATGAGGCCACTTCTCTGTCAGGGTGATATCCCTTAGTCTTTCTGCAACCAAGGAGTATCTAATAAGGAACGGGGGACTAGGATTTTGAGGCATGCTTTACTTGCCTTACTCTGGAGGTTACAACATCGTGGTATTTTATATGCACTACCCTGCCACGGGTAGTGCCACGGGTAGCCCCACCATGTTGCCACCAGGCCCTTCTGTGACATGCAGTCTATAGCCATACCCAGGACCAGTAATACTCATAGATACAACAGAGAAAGGGACAAAGGGTGAAGGTGTGATGGATGACAGGAGCAGGTGCCTTGCCTTGTTTCTGGGGTAGGTATGTTCCATAAATGTGGGAGCTGGTACTGAAACCTCTGAAGGGGGGGAACTACAACCTGGTAGACAGCTCCCTTTACCCTATCTTCCTCTTGTTTTCTGTACTTCTTCTGCTGCCAGCTATGGAATCCAGTCCAATAGCAGTAAGAGGAAGGGGTGGGGAGAGGAAATAAAATTATGAGACAAGGAAAAAGGGCAGATCAGCAAAAGAGGACAAGAGAAGCCATCAACAGATAAATAGGGTCTATGGTTGAAGGGCAGGAGTAATTCTAATCCAATTATATCCCAAGAATTTTTGGAAAATATGAAGGAAGTGAGGGTGCTTTTGGGGTTTTTTCATTTTTTCCCAGCTCAGGACAGTTGCTTTCTCGTAGATTATTTCTAAAACATTCTGATATCTGTAGGCAAAACAAGCCACTGTGTTGGTGGGAAGAATTTCCTCTCCTTTGATTTCTCTCTCCTTTGAATTTTCTCTCCTTTCTGTGTTCCTTGTATCTTACCTGTCTCCTCCCCTTTGCCTGTTGTTATTTCTTCATGAACATCTAAATTAAACAGTTGTTCTTCCTGTTCTGTTTGTTTGATGTGATCCTCAGTCATACTAAAAGAGCTTAGCAACAAGCAGCAGAAGTGATACTGGAGGACAAAGTGCTACCACATATGGAAGCACCACAGAAATTTTCTCCAACAAAGGATGCTTCTTTGTCTAAGCCAGGAGTGCTTAACCTCCAGCCCACGGGCCAGATTCGGCCCATGACTTCATGTCATCCAGCCCATGGGGCTTCCTGTGGGTCTGGAAATTTGGCAGCAGGGGAGCAATGGCACAGCACCCCTGCTCCCAAAGCTCTGGACCCATAGGAAGCCGTGGGCCCTGAGCACTGGATCTACCACCTGATTCCAGTATGCAGGGCCAGGCAGGGATGACGCTAAGCCCCTGGGCCCAGTCCTAGCCCCAGCACACAGAGGGAAGGAGAGAGTGGTGCCAAGCCCCTGGGACACAATCCTGGCATGTGAGGGGAGAGAGGTAACAGTGCCAGCCCCCTAGGACCCAATCCTAGCACCAGAGGGCACGAGGGGGCAGTGGTAGGGCCCAGGGCTTGATCCAGCCTGCAGAAAGGCCCTGTGGCATTCATCTGGCCTGTAAGTCCAAAAGGTGTAACACAGTGGGTGCCTATACATGTGCTCCTATGTGTTCTGATTAGAATGCATCAGAGCAGACTCGATTCATCAGCATCTTAATCAGAAGCAAGCGGACACACACTCTGATGAAAATGCTGCAGCATCTTGTGTATTCAGTGTCCCACATTTCAAAATGGCAGCGGGGGTGCTTTAACTAAAGCTTGTTTGATGAGCTTTAGTTGAGTGTCCCAGCCACTATTTTGAAACATGGAATGCTGAATACATGAGATGCTGCAGCACGCTGGAGCATTCTAACTGGAGTGCTTGGGCAGACTCAATCAATCGAGTCTGCTGAAGCATTCCAATCAGAATGTGCCAGCGTGCTGCAGTGTCTCATATATTCAATACCCCACATTTCAAAATGGCTGCAGAGGCACTTAACTAAAGCTTGTCAAAGGAGCTTTAATTAACGCATCCCCACCGCCATTTTGAAACATGGGATGCTCAATACATTAGATGCTGCAGTATTTTAATTAGAGCAACTCCCAAGAGCCTTTCTAATTAAAATGCCCTCCCCCCTCCTCCAGCAATCCTAGAGCATGTATATAGGCACCCAATTAGTCTAAGCTGCTTTGTACCTATTCAACAAAAACACTAGCTACAAGTAAGAAAATTATGGAAAAGCAGATCACAAATAAGAAAATTATTCTAAAGCTGTAACAACATTTATTACATGTACTAAAAAAAGATTCTGATGGAAATTTGAAGCCATCCTATTGTGTTTATTGTGCTTTAATTTTCTGTACCCACTACATTTATCTCACTGCTCTGATCCACAAATACCATCTAGCCCACTTTTACCCCTGCACTGTCTTATCTGATAGCTCTCATGCCCTCTGCTTTTACTGAAGCAATAGATAAGATGTTGACAGGCCTCTTTACTCTTCAACATAAATTCAGGAACAGTCCACTAGCTCCCCCTATCCGCCATCAACTGCAGAAAGTACTTAAGCTAGAGCCATCCTGAAGAATTTCCATTAAAGAACTAGTCTTAGATATTTTCCTAGCCCATAAATTTACCACCTACGCAGGCTTGTTTTTCCCTATACATGGAACTTGGATGTGTACACAGTCCCTTGCCTCACTCTTATCTCCTACAACTGCTTCCATGCTAGTTTTCATCATGAGCTGATGACATTAACTAGAGGTTACGGCAAAAAGATAAAAGGCAAACCTGGATTCTATTCCCATTTCTGACCTGTTGTCATGTGATATTGGTCTAGTAACATAGATATACTGAAGCATGAAGAAGTTATCTGTTAAGTGAATATATTACTATCTACTTCTAGAGACATTGTGAGAATATTAAACTGTCGGTAAAGTGTTTTCTGATCCTTGGATTAAAAAGTACAGCCTAGATCATTATGTCTTCATAGAGTTCAGGGAAACTATTGCAGTGTATGTCCAATGGATCTCCAAGACTGGCTGACCAGTTTACCCCACCCCTGACAAAGAGCTCACCATAACTAATAAGTAATTTGATAATAAACTTAAAATATAATTTAGATGCAATTTAAAAACATGTAACATTTGAGAAATGTCCTAATTCCCACCGCAGTTCATATTTTAAAATTCTTAAATATATTACAAATATTTAATACAGGAAATTCAACAAACTGATTGTAGATCTGAATTACAAAACAGAAGTGTAATTAAAACAAGTATATTCAAGGATGTATGATCAAACAAATGGTAACCAATTCTCTATCAGTTTAGGATATACTAAAAATAAATGTACAGATAAGCTGCATCTCATCAGTCTGTCACTATCCTTTGATCCTGACCATTGCATTCACTGAGACCATATTGGAAAGCTGTATAGCTAAATATCAACTGAAAATCATTTTAATACCATTGATTTAAGTACTAGTGGTGGTACTTGATACTTCATGTATGTCTTCTTCTTCTTCTTCACTTAAAACTACATCGTGTTCGTTTTCGTAGGGAGCAGGAGTCTCAGGTTCTTTTGCTAAACCTGAAGGTTCTCCTTTTTCATCTTCTGTTATATCTGTGTTTGAAGTGACAGGAATGGAACGCCTTGTTTCAGAATTATTTAGCGTCTGTGTATGAAAATAGATAAACGATTGGAAAACTATTGTGGCTGTGTTAAATTTAAATATCTAAAATATCTTCAGAAATTTTAATAAAATTGGGTTTTTGTAATCTGATAGATTTGAAGGCCAAAAAAGGAACACCATGATAATTTGACATCCTGCATTTACACAGCCAACAGAAGTATACCCAGTAATTCTTGCATTTAAAACTTCTGATTGAAGTATAACAACCCAGACAATGAAATTGGGAAACTGGTTCTTCATCTGAAGGTATCTCCTTTTCAGTAATTTTTTTCTCTAACATTCATCCTAAATTTCCCTTCTTAAGCTTTGTCCCATTACTCTTGGTTGCAGTTTCTGCTTTTATTTGGCTAAGATAAACAGCTACTCTTCCTCCTTTGTATTTACAGACTTTTAAACTTCCCTCAGAATCAATCTTCCCATTAATTTTTTATGTTCTTTTACAGTTTCACTCCCTTTATCTATACATTTTTGTTAATTGCCTAGCCCTTATGTGTGTGTCAAAGAACGCCTTTACTTACAAGAGCAGGTTAACATCAGTACAAGTAATAATCTTGCTTTAAATCATCTTTGAATAAAATTAATAAGCTGCTTTGGAACCAGAGACCAAACTCAGGCCAAGTTGGGCTCTCTTTTGCTTGCTCTATTTCTGGCCTCATAAATCTTTTCCTCATGTCTGCCCATTGGGCCAGTTCCAACAGGAGAGAGTAGAGGATACTCTCAGCCATGCCTCAGCCACAGCTTGCTGCTTAGGACACTGTCCTGGGAAGTAGGAGATGTGGATTTAAACCCTCTCATTCCAGAATGTCCTGGGCAAGTGCCCCAACCATTACAGAAGAGGGAGGATTTCCTTAATCTGAAGTCAATGCTGCTGTTTATTAGGTAGATAGTCATTCAGGTTCTTAGCTTCACTAAAGGTGTCTCTTACACCATAAGGCTCAAATAGAAGCATTTAAGCACCAGCAAAAACTTTCCAGTGAAAGAATGGAGAACTATTTGATTCCTGTACAAAACAGGATCTCCCTCTGGGGATGCACCAAAACCCCATAGGAAGAACAGGAGAGCTATACAAGTCCACAGGGGAAGAAGGGTCCCTCCTGGTCAAGGTCAAGTTGTCTGAGAGAAAAAAGAGGCATCTTTTCTGAGACATCTTTCTATTTTAAAAGGTGGATACATTATTTTTCAATACACGCACACACACATACATACATAGCATCTTCTTGTCTTGTACAGATAAAGTAATTCAGATAGATACTGTATATAGGTTGCACATGTATTAGTTTAGACATAGAAAAAGTTAAAACAGTTTTCAAGGGACATATCAGGACCCAAGTGAGTGATGTGACCAACATTATATCCAGTCATCCTTGACCTCCCCAGACCAAATGGTCAGCTGCCCATACACAGAGTCAACTGGGAGCAGTCTTCAGTGTGTCTGGAGTGAAGCTTAGACTTATATTTCCAGATTCTGTTGTGAGACACCTTAACCACTTTACTACCAGAGTCACTTTATATGTCTAAGATGCTTTTTTTTTTTTTTGGTAATAAATCTAGACAGTAATGATGTGAATGAATGGGTCAAAATATGGTAAGAGAGGTTCACAAAGAAATCACAAACACCCATCTCCACGGAAAATGGCCAGTTGCTTTCTTCCAATACTCTGGTACTTTGCCAGTCTTTTCATCTTTTCCAATATGACACTGGAATATATGCAGGAGAGATTAAGAAGGTGCTAATTTTATAGACTGCCTTTTAGTCATAACCACACTTTAATCTGAGTACCACAAAACATTTTATTGCAGCCTTCAACATTCCATCAGAAGACTGGATTGAATGTCTTTGGCTGGAAGGGCTTTGTATGAATAACTTGGTTTGCACTGTCTATATCAGGCCAGTTATGGAATAAGAAATACAACCAATTTCCTATGATCCAACACTATTTAATTAAAAAACTTAAAACAACTCGATATGAAGAGAAGCTTTAGTCTTTTAGTCTTTAGAATCTACTGTTCAGTGATTTAAATTAAAAGACTAACATAATTCTGTTTACTTCAATGGAGAACTTAGTATAAAATGTTTAAACCAGTTTGAAACTTATTATCAATTTGAGAAATATTTCAAATAATTCCTATATGCACACATTTTCTAAATGCTCACACACTCGCACTCCGTGAGGAATACCAAAAGAACCAGGAAAAGCTTTCCAATCAGCAAAAATGTTTTAAATTGTCTTAAAAGATTAGTAGAAACAATAGCAACCAGGGCAGAAAAGAAGAAAAAAAAAAAAATCAACAAAAGAAAAAATAATAAAACAATAAGATTGTACTAATATTTTAATATAGGCATGTGTCTATTTTAGCTTCATGTAATAAATTATGAAAAATGTTCCTACATGCTTTAAATAAAGACGTTTTAGCACAGAAATAATCATTTTGGTATAGATGAACTCATTCTTTCACTTACCCCTTCTGAAATAGATGATGACCCCCAAGGTATTATACTGCTTGTTATCTCACAAACAGAGGCATGAATAATATTTTTCTTCTCCTGTACTGCTGTTTTCTTCAGCCGGGGAATGAAAGCAAGAATACCTGCTGCTCCAACAGAGAAAAGCCCAGGGACTACAAACCCAATGTTGTAACTCCCCAACATGTCATATATCCAGCCTGAAAAAAAATAATATTCCAGTTACATGCAAATCATATTCTTCTTTTATTAGAGCATGTATTTTCCTTCATGTTCCTCTTTACAACCCTGGACCACAGTCATGAGCACCACAGAAAAGTCAGAGAAGCCTAAAAATAATATAAGCACTTTTAATCTATATAACATATACAGAATTGCCAAACTTTGTGGGAAAACAGCCTCACACTTATTAGAGATGTTTATGGTGGGCCCAACAGACAAGTCTGTTCTTTCAATATAGACTGTAAATCCATTACAATAAACTTCATCTCGTGATGTGTGAGAGAAGGGCACTCACGTCACTGCCTCTTGTGCTGTCATTCTAAAAGCAAATCAATGGGAGCATACAGTAAAAATGGTTTATTAGGGCAAGAAATTTTCTAATTGGAGGTTGGTCAGAGCTTAAGGACTAATCCTCAATAGTTTTGAGGTGACCGATTTTACAAGAGACAAATCTAGGTGAATTCAGTTCTATTATTTTAAGGTATTTTAGAATTGTAAAAGAGTGCACTGACCTTTTAATGCTTGAGATAAAAAAAAAAAATCAACCTGGGACAACACTGCCTTGTGCTAGATTTTGCTGCTTAAAAATAAACCTGTGGGACTAGGATAGTCACCAAAAAGAGGGGAAGTGGCACTGGGGAGGCCACCTCAGTTTTGGGAAGAAACATGCAGCAAACTTTTTACAGCCAAGATTAAAGTTCCACAAGAGATATGGACTGGAACTCCTTTCCCTGGTCAATGGGGAGGAATGACGCTTGCTTGGAGCAGCTCCTAGCTTCCCTCAGGACCTAGAATTTTAGGAGATTCAGTTGCATAGAAGCCAGAGGGTGGTTTTAAGTAAGGCACCCCATGGGATAAAGATACAACCAATGTCCTTTCCCCAGATAAGAAAGGATCTAAAAGGAGACGTTGATGCAACGAGCAAGTGAACCTGCTTTTTTTGTGTAAAGTTTTTAAGATGGATTCTCTGAGAAGTTCTGAACCATTTTTTAAACACAAAACTACAGCTGTCACACTGCTTTATTTGGCCACCTGAAATAGAGCACTTGGTAGAGGAATGATACTTTCTTATTTCACAGACACAGTTTTTGGGGGCAGGTGATGAGAGGAGAGTTGAGATGCCACAACAACAAAATTAAAAAGGCCTAGAATACATTCCAAATTGCTACAGAAAAATAATACCAGTATAATGAATTAGATATTAAAACTTTACATTGGAAGAAATTCACCTCTATGTTGATGACATCTAACAAGGTCTTTGCACCACTTCAAGGTTCTACTTAACTCTGTATAACATGGGTTATGTGGGACCTAAATAGTACACAAGCCTCGTGTAGGTAGTTTACAGAAGGGCAAATTTATAACTTATGGTGAATACAGCAGAAAGAAATGCTTTACCAAGAAAAATATCTCCAATATTTAACGCCATCCGAGACCCAAAAAGCTGATAACATGACAACAGAAAAACAAAAATATCGTAGGTCTAGAAAGGGAAAAATGCATATGGCAGCAGTAGGGGTTTAGGTTGTAGCCGTGTTGGTCTAAGGACATAGGCAGACAAGGTTCTTGGGTGAATTTGATATCTTTTATTAGACCAACCCAAATAGTTGGAGAATATTTATTAAGCAAGCTTTCGGGTTCAAAACCCAGAGCCACCCATCCTAGCCTTCAAACAAGCACCGAACCTCGCCAACCTCATCACCAGAAGCAAACTTCCTCAAGCCCAGAAGACACCAAAAGGATCCAGACCGTGCCATGACAAGAAATGCAAAACCTGCCAACACATCTCCACCACCCCCACAATTACTACACCCTACAACAGAGCCATCAGCATCCCAGGATCTTACAGCTGCACCTCCAGAAATGTAATATACCTCATCCAATGCACCAAATGCCCTGATGGAAAATACGTAGGACAGACCAAACAACAACTGCGCACCAGAATGAACACACACCAGAAATCCATCAAAGAGAGAAATACCCAATTACCGGTGGGGGCACATTTCTCACAGGAGGGCCACTCTCTCTCCAATCTCTCAGTCCTGATCCTCAAGGGAAATTCACACAACACTTCCCAGAGATGAGCCTATGAGCTCCATTTCATCAACCTTCTGGATACGAGAGATCATGGACTAAACATAGACATTGGATTTTTGATACATTATAATCTGCCTGGCAACTGACTCCCCAGCCCAGCCCAGCCCCTGGCTTCTTTACTTTTCATTCCATCCAGGAAGAGCACGCACCAACTGCTGAAACTTCCTTAGCCTGACGAAGGGTTTTTGAACCCGAAAGCTTGCTTAATAAATATTCTCCAACTATTTGGGTTGGTCTAATAAAAGATATCAAATTCACCCAAGGAACCTTGTCTGCCTATGGCAGCAGTAGCCATATGAGAGGAAAAGAGATATTGAATCCTCCCTACCATTCATTCCTCAAACTGTTCCTAGGTCAGTGCTTCCCAACCTTTTCTTCAGCATGACCTCATTTAAACATTGGATATTTTTGCGACCTCAAAATGATACAGACAAGACCAGTGTCCCCTCCCCCTGCAAGCGGCATGGCTGAAGCAAAACCCATAGGGGGAAGGATGTGGGGTGCCCACTGCAGGCTCTGGGCTCCCAACCCTGCTGCCCTCCCCTTGGGGGTCTCCATGGCCCAGTGGGCAGGGTCAAGCAAAGAGGTACAGTGCCACTGCCAGAAGCCCCATACTGGCCACACCACCATGGCGAGGTACCCCCTACCTGCCCAGCAGCAGTAACGGTGGCAGCATAGAGTTTCAGTTTTATAGTTGGTAGGGTCAGAAGGGATCTGAGCAGATCATCAAGCCATGGCAGGAAAAAGTACTGGGGTCAAACAACCCCAGCAAGGTGTTTGTCTAACCTCCTCTTAAAACCCCCCCAGGGTAAGAGCCAGCACCACTTCTCTTGGAAGTTGGTTCCAGATCCTAGCCGCCCTGACAGTGAAGTAGCACCTCCTGCAATCTAGCCTGAATCTACCCTCTGCCAGCTTGTGACCATTATTTCTAGTCACTCCTGGGAGTGCTCGGGGGAACAGGGACTCCCCCAATGCCTGCTGGTCCCCTCTGACTAGTTTGTAACAGGCCACTAGATCCCCCCTCAGCCTTCTCTTGTGGAGGCTAACAGGTTCAGGTCCCTTAGCCTCTCCTAGTAGGGCCTGCCCTGCTGCCCCCTGACCATGCGAGTGGCCCTCCTCTGGACCCTCTCCATATTGTCCACATCCCTCCTGAAGTGCGGCGCCCAGAACTGGACACAGTACTCCAACTGCAGCCTGACCAGTGTCACCTGCCTCTGCACTGACGAGAAGGGAGTTCCCCAGCCTGTAGGTGTGCTGCTGGTTCTTCCTCCCCAGGTGCAGCACCTTGCACTTGTCAGTGTTGAAACCCATCCTGTTCTCATTCACCCACCCCTGTAACCTGTCTATTCCCTGCTACTGCCAGGCAGGCAGGGGGTGCTTTGCCATGGTGATGTGGGGCTCCTGGCAAGGGCAGCAAGCCTCCCTGTCCTGCTCTGCCCTCCCATGCTGGGTCTTGCACACTGGGCCATGGAGGCCCTAGGGGGAAGGCAGAAGGGTGAGGAGCCACAAGCATGTAGTGGGCAGCTTGCATCTGCCCCTGCCCCATGAACAAATCTGGGGGATATGTGCCCCCCTATACTATTCTCCTCAGGAGTGTGTGCAGTAGTGGGGAGCCAGCCCCACCCCTGTATGAACTGCCTGTGGCTCCATCCTGCTACACCAGGTTCCATATTTTCGCCCTGGCCCCAGGCTCCGGGTGGGCAGTAGCCCCAGCTCTACCCCTGCCCCACTTCCTCCTCCCTCCCTGCCCTTGGGGTCCTCAATCTGCCCTCCCCTCCACAGACTTACCTGGAGAGAGCTGTGGGAGCTGCTCTCCATGCCACCTAACTGCCACATGCATGTGTATGCTTGCACATGCATGTGGCGTGCTCTGTCTGATCACCCTCCCTCCACTCCACCCAGCCTCAAGCTGCCCCTTGCAGACTGGAACTCTGCCAGCCTGCAAGGGAAACCCACTGTTTCCTGCTTTTTTCTGTGATTTTCATCAGAATTGGTCAACACTGCCGAGTGTCATTGCGACCCCATTTTTTATCACTGCAACCCCAAATAGGGTTGTAACCCCAAGGTTGGGAACCACTGCCCTAGGTACAGAAGCACAGGACTGTCTAAACTATTACAGGCCAAGGATGCTTCCCAAAAAAACCCCCTTCAATATCGCTAGCAATGTTATTAATTGTTTTAGGAAAATACGTTGTTTTAATATGGATAAATATTTAAATATTAGCACTGTCAGAGAATCAATATTTAGGACTATCTTCATATATAACTTCATGTTAAATAACTCACCTGCAAATGGTGGACCAAAACAACTAATTGCATTGACAGCCATCATAAAACCCCAAGCAACTGGCATTTTCTCTGCTCCCATTAAATCAAAAGTCAGCACAGGCAAAAGAACATAGTTTCCTGCATCGAAAAATCCCAGAAGGGTGCCAAAGGCAATTAGAGATGTAAGTGTTTTACAAAAAGGAATAAGCAAAAATAACACACCTGAAAAACAAAACAAAAAGTTAAGATAGGCTTAGCATGGCACGTGCTTGGACTTGTGGATGAAACACATGTGCTGAAAGGAACAGATGAAGACTGTGCTTCCTATCAATAGCTGGTTGATTGCTCTGCAGTCATTTTGATATAATCTCATTGTACACTAAGGATCATACTTACTCTTACATAGCAGCATCAATGTCTAACACTTTTTACCTTCTTCAGCTAGCTAAGGCAGGGGTGCTCAACCTCCTGTCTACAGGCTAAATGCTACTTATGGAGCCATAGATATCTGGCCCATGGAGCTCCCCATAGATTGGGATATTTGGCAGCAGGGGAACAGCGGCAATAAATGTGGCTACCCTCCCCGCTGCCAAATTCTCAAATCCCAAGCCCCATGCAGCAGATTGGGGCCAGGTCATGTCTTCTTTGCCACCCCTGTGGCTGGATGAACCTGAGCCACACTCTTCCCAGCAGGGTGAATGGGGCTGGGCCATGCCTCCTTTTTCCCATGGAGCCAGGTTGAAGCCAGCTCAAGCCTCCTTCCTCTTGTGGGCCAGGCTGGGGCTGGACCATGCCCCTTTCCCCCTGTAGGGCTGGGCCATGCCCCCTCCCCTCCATGGGGCCAGACTGGAGCTGGGATGTCCCCATACCAGATCAGGACCATCAACCAGATCCGGCCCTTGGCTGGCCTGGGCATTACCCATCAGGCACACTGGCCAAAAAGGTTGAGCACTACTGAGCTAAGAGATTCCATTCTGCAGTGATGGATGGTGACCCAGTCGTATTTATATATGGTTTTATCTTCCCTCATCCAAACTACATCACCACAACACACCTGTCTACAAAACCCTAAGAAGCTACTCATAAAAACACTGCTTAGAACTCTTTAGTAACACAAGCTACCCTGTGTAGATCACAGCTATCCTCTACTCTGCACTGGCTTCCTACAGAATATCAAATAAAATTCAGGTTATCAATCATTTCTTTTAAGGAGCTAAAAGGTCTGGGCCCAAGGATATCTAAAAGACTGCTTTAAGCTCCAAGATGGCCACTAGCTTCATTCCTCATAACTTCATTCACTCTATGAATTTCCCTTCTGTTCTATGCATTTTCTATGAATCCGTGCATTTCCCTTCTGTGCTAAAGAATGCCTTGCATTTGTAAGCTTGTCTGACTATATCAGCTATGCAGTTGATCCAATAAAAGATAAGATCCTAAGAAATCCTTGCCTTCTGTTCTTCACAAATAAAATAAAAAATTATTGATAAATACCAATAGCACACGGATTCCGAATTATCTTTTATTTACTCTGACATTCCGAATAAATCAAGCTCCTTTCAAATGACTTTCTTCTATATAAACAAATTACCTAGTGTCCTTGAGGGACTCCTTGGAAAGTAATTTGAAAGATTACTATAACACAGCTCTTTCAGCTCATTCATTTTAAGCTGACTTTTCTCATGGCTAGGTGGCTGGTATAGTTTGAACACTAGAATAAAACAATGTATTACTTCAGATATTTTAGTAGACTTGCATAGTTGCCATTAATTATATCCAGTAGGGGGCAACTGTGCACAACCTGAAGCACATAAACAACCTATTATCAGAAATATAAAAAAAGTATATTAAAAGAATGAAAAGTAGCTTTCCAGTTAGGAAGCTGACACTTATAAAAGGAGTTCCAGAGCAGTTTGCATCAGTTTTGGCAGGAACATTTTAAGAAGATGAAAACAAAAACAACAGTTTTCATATAAGGGAAATAAAAGAATACACATGGGCACGTGCCACATATGGGCACGTTGGCACCATATGACCAACTTTTCCACTGAGAATTTTAAGTCCGTCTAGATCCCAATCTATACTATGAGGACTTTGATGATACAGTTGTGCAGATATACTCTAACAGAAAAAAACAATCCAAAAGTAGATGCAGCTTGCGCTGGCCAAACCAAATCTTTGCCACTATAACATTCCAGCCCCCTCTCCAGATGAAATAAAACCAAAGGATTTTTAGGCTCAAAGACATCCTGATCGCATGCCCCTGAAAATGAGAGCCTGAGATCAGCATTCAGGGTGCCTCTAAACCACCTGCTAATTGCCAGGCTTGGGCACATGTGAGGAAGACAATGTAGCAGAGGCTTGTTTCTCAGAGGCTCTGGGCTCTGCAGGGTAGACATATCTTTAGGAAATGTCTGAACAGTTTATCCAGGCTTTACTCAGTGTGCAGTTCCTCTGCCTGTTTTTTCTGTCCTGTGACATAAAAATATAAGCAGTGCCATACTGGATTAGACCAGTATCCTATCTAGTCCAGTGGCAGTAGTAGATGCTTTAGAATCAAGACATGAGAAGGGTATGTCTAGAGTGATTTATCCCATTATACCCCCCTGGGCATCTATCATGATTGATTTAGGGATGTCAGAGGATACATTCCTAACTGTCTGAATAGTTATTAATGAATCTATCATCAATGAATAAAGCATTTGGAAGCATCTCTGGTAAGTATGAATTGGGTTTGGATATATCTAGAAATCCATCTCTAAATGAAGACAATATTTTGAGAGCCACCAGACTAAAAAAGTTCCTGAGGTTGTTGGTTACCAAAGTTCAGTGTGAGACTCAAAAACACGGTTTGCAAAAATAGGTAGTATCAAAGCTAGTCCAAAAGACTACAGGTGATATTCACAATGCTTTTTCTTACAACAAATGAGACAGTAGTATCCCTATATCAATGTAAATATCCAGATCATATAGTCAGTTACCTTTTTCTAGAAAAGGTTTGCTGATTCTCATGGTGACCATATTGACATTTCCCCCTAAGAGCCAGACTGAGCTGGAACACTGCTTTTTATTATCAGGAAGTAACTGGAATTAAACCCCTCCCATCTTTAATGCAGTGGCCTGGGCTTGAGGGCACTCTTTGCAGAAAGGAATGGATTTCCTGAAGTCTGTTCTGATAAGGTGCCCAAGAGTACTGTTGAAAGTGAAGTTGAGGGCAGAGGCAGGGCACCTGGAAGGTTTTCTGAACCTCAGACTCTGTAACTTTACCAATAAATATTCATTTGCCTGAAATGATAAATTAAGGCTAAATCTTACTATTTGCCTTTAACAAAAAGATCCTGGCAGAGGACAGAAAATAGTTGACTAGATGCTTTGGAATCCTTCAAAAATCATTTGTATATTGAAGCTTGCTAAATGAACAACAAGAACCTCTGCTCAAAGAGAACACATTTGGGTTTCACACTGGCATCAGGGTTTGCCCCTAAACTTTTATTGGCCCTGTACCCATGGCTCAGATGATGGAGAGTATAGTTTCTATTCTGTAAGATACATATAAAGCAGCTGTGGATATGCCTGCATTAAATCAGAACTTGGTAATGGATTTTAAAATAAATTAGCATCATTTTCATAAAATTTAAATCTCCTTTCTGAAGAAATTGTGATTCACTACATTTCTAAGCAAGCAACCATTATTTATCAGTGAAACTTTTATATTACTGAAGTACAGTAGTAGTAAAATGGAATCTGCTAACATATTCTGCAAATAATACCGTCGTTCTGACTCTGCTATAAACAGTAGACCTCAAATGTCTTTAACCCATTTTCCTTGTGCTTCTTCAGTTTCAGTGAACACTTATTACACATTCTGCCATCCATTGAGAGAGCAGAGGAAAGGTTCTGACAAGAGAAATGTAATCAACTGTACTCTATTTGCCCTTTTTTAGGGACAACAGCATATCACTAAACAAAATGACATGTGAATTGAAAACATACCTACATGTACCAGGATTCTGTTACCCTTACTCAGGAGTAGTAATTTGGTATAAACATATTCCCATCGAGTCAACAAGACTATTTGTTAAATAAAGTTAGTCAATGTGAATCAGTAAGTGTGGCAGAATCGGTCTCCAAAATACTTATTTTTGCAGAAACTGAACAACTATTGCAAAACACATGTAATACAAGCAACAAGAGAGCACATTCATAAAATTATAGAAAATGTTTAAAAAGTAAATATAGTTTACGGTCATTAGCAATTAAGCAGGTACACAGTAATTTAAATAAGCTACTGATAGAGTTCTGTAACAAAAAGTATGACGGATTCACCACTTCATAGAGAATGGCAGTGCAACTCCATTTCAAGAGCCACCAACAAAAAATTAGTGCAGAGTGAAAATCAGAATATATATAGCTAAATACAGAGTAGAATGACTGCCATTTTAAAAACATTTTCTTATATTTAATTTGGATAATGGAAAAACTTACCAACACAAAATACAGATGCCTGGTTAATAAAGAGACGGTTAATATTCTCCGAATTGCAAATCTTTCCAAAAAAAAGACAACTAAGCAGGCTGCTTATTCCAGTTCCTACCATAATATATGGTGCATCATCCAATGAAATGCCCAAGTCATTTGCAAGCTTCATCTGTAAATACCAGTATATCAATTAAATAAATAATACAGCGCTACTTTCCACAGATTCATTTGCATATGCACATACAGACTTGTCATTTTATTCCAACCATTTTCCATTAAAACTCTGCTTAAAAAATAATTGACAAAATACTGTTTCATAGTTCATAAAACACTTTTTTTCCTTTTTTAAATCCTTTAGAAGTTTGAAGCATTTATCTGTACTCACGTATTAGGTCCTATCACACCTTTACCTGCATGTGTATAGGGGGCCTGATAATTGATTGCAACTCAATTTCCTCCAAGCCCTTTGGCTGAGGGCCAGAATATGAACCACTACCATCCATGAAAGACTATAAAAACTCCAGTCCCTAAACCAGCAGAATTCAGGAAATCTGCTGGAGAAAGACTTCTTGTCTCTGCACTGCTGACTAGGCCACCAATGCTAATACCAAGACATGCTTCTTAATGCATCTCAACTATGGGTTTAATTTCACAGCACATAAAGGTAAACACTAGAAGATAAGAGCTATTTTAGTTAAAGGACAATGTTGGCACAAGACAAAATGGATATAAACTGGATGTGAATAAATCTGACCTAAAAATTAGAGGAAAGAGTATCTAAACATCAGGAGTATCTAACCGTTCCAGTTCTATTTTTTAAATTTACTGTGGTGACCAGCAAATCCTGATCTAAGCTGAGATCTCTTGTTGCTACTCTAGTAGAAATATTGGGTCTAACATTTTAGACCCCAAAATAATCAGTGTAATATTTTATTCTCAAATGGAGAAAAATGGTATATTGAACATGCCTCTGGACCCCAGGCTCTCACAAGACAGGATTAATCCATTTGTTAGCTTATTCAAGGCTAACATACAGGTACTTCAGAAGAAAATCATATTAAAATCCAACTACAAAAGAATCTTGTACAATTGAAACTATGCAAGTCATGTTGAGTCATGTGTATCTTTGTTAATAAGAAGTCCACATTCTTTCGAATACAAGTAATTATAATCTCTTGCTTTTCTAAATGACAGCTAAATTATCACAGAAGGATACTTAAAAAGCAAAAAATACATGAAGTATCACTATTAAATCAGTAGTAATCAGAACGGAAATTACATTCTTACCATATGAACAAAAGGTATGAAGAATCCAAATTTTGCTAACCCAAGAGCGCACACCCAGAGCTCAAAGACACTGTTCTTCCATAATCTTAGATCAACTATAAAACCTCTTAATGGTGATGTTTGAAAGTTTTCAACAACACTTGGATGTCTTCCTGTAAGAAAAAAAGTTAAAAGAAAAATGTAGCTACAATTTTTGTAAACATTTCATTACCATTTTTACCCAAGACTACTTTGAATTTAAGATGACTTCATAAGATGATTATTAGATTCTAGACAAGAAAAATCATAAATTTGTTTTAATGTTCCATTTCTAGAACCTAATTATTGGAGGGTCATTTAAAATTAATTGCCCTTACCATTGAGTGGGGAAAAGCAGTAGCAGGGGGCAAGTGGCAAGGAAAGCAGCAGCTGGGGGTAGGTGGCATGCCTATGCACCCCTGCTATTTGCTCCCCCCAAGTGCCTGCACCCCTAGCACCTGCCCCTCCCCACTCCTGCCTGTCCCCTGTGCCACCTGCCCCTCTCTGGTGCCTGCACCTCCATCACCTGTTCCTCCTGCTGCTTGGTCGCTTTTCATCTGCCCCCCTGACCCCTTTCCCTCACCAGTGCTACCCTGTGCAACTGCTCTGGCTCTGTCTGCCCCCAGGGCATGGAGCATCTGGGGTATGGAGTAGCAGTGGTCTGGCCCCAGCCCAGGGCAATTAACACTAGAGTATGGGGGGAGCACAGGGGAGGGGGTATGTGGTACAAGGAGAAGTGCAGGGAACTGGCCCATGATGTGGGAGCAACGGGAGCATGGGAAAAGGGGTATGCAGAACAGGTGGGAGTAGGGGGAATGCAGGGAAGAGGGCACACAAGAGTGAGGGGAGCACAGGGATTGCTGCAGAGCAGCATCCCCTTTCACTGGCATTCCTCCCGCAGCTACATGCACTTCACCCTGCCACCCTGGCTAGTACTCAAATTTAAGATGAATGTTCCCCACCCCCATGTTGGATAAGGAAAAGAACCTCATCTTGGATTTGAGAAAATATGGTATGTAGAGCTATTGTGAATCCTGTTCTTATTAGAAAAAAAATCATGAACCAAAGTCAGAAACTACTTTTATGGTCTCATATGTAAAAAACAGATGCAAGTATAAGATAATTCATACAGTCTAATAGAGGATAAGCTTAATCTTGCAGTGGCCAAAGTAAGTACATATATGCCAGACTTATCAATAAGCAATGGCAAAATTTTGAAGACCCACTAAACACCCTGCATTTCTCATGTTTCTCTAAATGCTTAAATAGTTAAGGCAGATGGAAGAAGAAAACTGAACTATCAGGGAAATGTTTCATCTTAAGTTTGGAGCGCTGCTTTGTATTTCTTCAAGATGTTCCCCAGTTTCTTAGCCACAGCCCATGTTTCTCCTTGTTCCAAGTCTTCCAGTAATTCCCCTGTCCCTGATTCCCATGCCCCCAGTTCACCATTTACAGTCCTCACTTCTGGCTTAGATCTGCTGCTATAACATTAGTCTGAAGTCAACAGCAAATCAGTTCATATTTGTAAATATTTCATATAATGTAAAATATAGTTCACTACACACAATGAACACAGCTTGAAATTAATTTGGCCTTGCCACAGATGCAAGCAGTGCTACCTTAGAGAAAGTAAGCAACGAAAATTCTGTCCCAAACCTGGGCATTTTGAGGGACTATTTTTTTAATGGATCCAGAATGGCATTTACCCAAAACTTAATTTCACTTTTTACATTAAATCCATGATGGGGGCTACACCAGTCTTGATTAAAATGCTGAAATAAAAAATCAAAACAGTTTACAATTATGACATGCAATAGAGAGGGGAGACTTGTACGGGTCCCTTCTGTGGGTAGAACTGGCTACAACTAATAAGAGAAAGGGAAAAAAATAAACGAAAAAGAAACAAAATACTATATATCTTGCCCTCCTCCTGAGGGGGACTGAGGGGCCAATCTGCCACCCCAAGCCCTTAGCCCGACAAGTCTGCTGCTTCCCAGGGGCCCGCATCCGGGACATTGCGGAGAGGATCCCAAAGCTTCTTAAACCCACAGACCACTATCCCATGCTCCTTATTCATGTGGGCACCAATGACACTGCTCAGAGCACTCCCAGCCAGGTCATGAGGCGCTACAGGGATTTGGGAGCGGGGCTTAAGGGTCTGGGGGCACAGGTGGTGTTCTCGTCGATCCTCCCAGTCTCAGGCTATGGGCTGAGAAGGGACAGGAGGATGTATGTGGTCAACCAAAGACTGCAGCGCTGGTGTCGTCAGGAAGGCTTTGGCTTCCATGACCACAGCCCGCTCTTTGGCGAGAGAGGCAGCGAGCTGCTGGGAAGAGATGGCCTCCACCTCTCTCCCCTAGGGAGGAGGCTCTTCTCA